TGTCTAGTCAGGTTGAACGTTCTGTTTCGTTATGTTAAAAAATACTGTATGCGCAATTATTAGCACTGGGCAGCTCTAACATGTCGGACACATTTCTGCGTCCCACACGTGAATCCAGTGTCAATGGGTTCATAAACGCAACCGCAATACGTAACCTGGCGTCTGGTTTTATTCCGTATACAGTGACCAATTGATTTCGGGTGAAGTCGTTGATGGTGTTTTCCAGATTCTGCTTATTCATAAACTCTTCTGCGAGTAGGCTGTACATGTGAAAGTTTGCGCTTTCTTCTCGAGGCAGTAGCGACAGTAATGTTCAGTTGATAGCGTTGCTCTAAGGGATTATCAATCTGGAAAGAAAAGTAAATTGTAACTCTTCAGAGGGCATAGGTGGAAACGTATCGTCAGCATTTCGCTCCTGGGGCCATCAGTTCATCACGCTGATATTTTGTCTGATGGTCGCGTTGTCGGCCGAGTTACGATAGCGCGTCAACTAAAGTAAATTAGTCCCCGAACTCCACAAGCTTATTACGCACCCACCTCTGTTCATCCAGCAGGCACATATTACATGTTGTCAAACGTTCTTTTCTTGTCCGTAGACCCCTAAAAACATAGGGATCATAGGTAGCCCACTCTCCACTGAAACCACCGCAACCTTTATCCTGTAAGCGTAAAACCTTTCATCGTATACGTAAGGGTTCGCCGACCCACTGAAAAAACCGCTATGTTTAGATACAGACCAAAAATGGCAGACTTTGACCGGCAGCTGGCCTCCAGCAGGACTAACTGCGCCTTTTCTTCATGTCCAGGGTTGGCGGTGGAGCAAATAGTAGAGTACCGTTTGGTGGTTTAGAATGAGGGATGACGATTTATTGATGCAGCACTGACAGAGTCGAATCTCCTTCACAGCAATTTAACTGTAAGATAACCGAGAGCGTAAACAACTGCAGGATGCTTGCAAACGTCTTGCGGCTACACCCAGCAAAAAGAGCTTACAGATGCATTCTTACGTTTATACATGCATAAGTTCATATATTTTAGAAAGTACGACACCAGGCCTGAAGGCGGTAGCCTCTAGGATCACCCGCATATACTTCTGCTAAGGTGCGAAAGCAGATACTTGCACCCCCTGTCATGAAATAACATTTCACCACCTTGCACTGATACCATCTAATTAGTTTTGGTATGTTGCGGAACCAGAAATTTGCGCCCTCCGACATAGCTATTTTCATTGACTTTGTATTAGTAATTGTCTGGAGCATGCGGGGCACATTCCCCTTTACTGTCGGTATGGCGCACATTAGCATGTCTGCGTGAGCACATGCAGACCTTCCCAGTCCAACATAAGACAGGAAGGTAGTACAGGGGACTCATTTATTTCAAATGCTACAGCTGCAGTGACATCTAAACTGTACGCTTTGCTCTAAGCATACACCAATCAGGAAATACAAAAAGGAATTTGACCTCCACCGGCGACAGACTAGGGAAGACATTCCGATGGTACTTTAATTACCGCAGTGCTTCGCTCGTGGGCCACGTCTGGCGCAACTAGCGCCCATCAAATGAACACACTGGCTCTTTGCATAATCATCTGTGAGAAGTAGCGTCTAGACTCAGGCAAAAGGTATTGCAGACTAGGGTTTGCGCTGCCGTGCGACTCTTCAAATATGGTCACCCTTTCTGGATCACCTCTGAATGCAGCTTGGTTCTAATTCGCCAACTTCAACGCGATTTTGTTGATCGTCCACACCCATATTGCGTTCCACCAAAGGTGGTTTACTGGCCGAACCTGCTTTATTTTCCATGGCCTCTTTAAGACAGAAGAATTTCAGGTGCCCACTCTGTACTAAAATAGGACCTTCTCCCTGTCAGCACCGAACCTTCTGTTATATACATAAAGTTTCACCGACCTATTGAAGAAACCGACGCCAAAGATCCAAATCATAACTGGCAGAATTTCACCGGACTATGCTGGGTTCCTAGGTGTTCAGGTATTGCGTATTGTATACCTATTGTGCACTGGAACTTGGAAATTTTTGGACCTTTGGATATTTTGTATTGTTGTATCACATGCGTGCACCACTATGTTTATTCTCGACGTCACCAGGTAAAAGCTGACAGTACGCTTTCGACAGAATTATCTCCTGAACGGTCCGTTTTCCTCCTTCGCGAGGTGTTTCGATGAAGCATACTCCATGTCACCAATTGATGGCTTTGCAAAGAGGATAA